GAGCAGGGGTGGGAAGCAAGGTGGGAGTGGGGCCTTCGGGGAAAGGGGTGACATAAGGGCGGAGCTGGGGGGGGGAGCACCTCCCAGCAGATTAGAAACTCAGCACCTATGACAGCCAGGGCTTCCACATGCCCATCCGGCTGCCTTCGCCGACGGCACCATGTAGGCGATTTAAAAGGGCCCGCGGCGGCGGCTGCTGCTGCTACTACTGCGGCAGCTGGGGCCCCCTGGGCCCTTTTAAATCACCTGGCCCCCTGGGCAATTGCCCCCTTTGTTCCTTCCCCCCCCCCCGCTTGGCGGGCCTGAGGGGAAGTGTAAACAAAGTCAGGTGCTTAAGCACGCACATTATGGGGGCTGCCTAACCTCATGACACAGCAAAGATTTTTCCTGTACGTGGGAAAAAGTATAAATGAGGGACAGTGACATCACTTTGCCTGCCTCTTTCCCCCTTCCCCCAATCTCGCCAAGCAAGATCATCGGGAAAACAAGAGATCTCCATTGAGACTTTGGGAGAAGCTGCACCCAACTGAAAGGTGTTCTAGTTAGCATGAACTGCTGTGACGTTTTGGGTGAGAAAAATCCCCTTGCTTTTAGAATTATTAGCCTGGTAAAGTTTAGGATTTAGACTGCAGCTGTCAAGGCTGATTCTCCACTCTGGCACTTCGAGTGCAGAAGGTGAGGGCCTGCAAGGGTTTTAAAAATGAATACTTGCCACTCCTGGCTTGTATTACACTCCCAAGATGACAGCTTTTCTCTGACCTTGGCTTGGTAAATGCTACCACCACCCAAATGCAAAAAAACCCCTTGAACCTAGGAAGGAGCACTTGGGAATTCCTACCTGTGGGGTACCCCCAAGCCTTTTCACCCCCTTGCGGGGAAGAGCTGAGAAAGAAAACAAAGGAAATCAGCTGTTGCCACGAGCTACTTAAACAACATGTGCACAAACCTCTTAGGGACACAAAAATCCAATCCTGTTCTTAAAAAAGGTAAAATTTATTAAAAACAAAGAGAAAGGAAATCCATTTGGAACTTAGGCTTTTTGCTAGATCTTAAAAGAAACAATTACAACAATTAAGCATCAAGCTATCTCTTGAGGTTCATCTTAAAGGTTACAAGCAAAACAAAAGCATCTGGGATTAGAACAGAGTAGTCCATTA